AAAGATCCTAACACCACGGCGGAGCAGACTGTGCCAGTCGGGGAGGTCCGGTCGGTGCCGAAGCGGAGACGAAACAGGTCATCCAGGCAACTGAAACAGCGAGTGGGGGAATGACCGGTCTTACCGTACATGAGGCTGCGGCGAGGACCGGTCTGGAGCTGGTACTGGGAGCGCCCGTCACTCGCACCACCACCCGACGCCGAGCTACGTGCACGACCAACGCGACCACCACAACCACCTCCACCAGTGCCAGGCCACCTAGGCAGGAGGCGGCCGACCCTCCGCGGTGACGGCTGTTGCTGCTGCTGCTGCTGGTGGTCAAGCTGTGGCGTCTGCTGCTGCTCCCGCTGGGGCCGCTGCTCCGAGGCACCAGCCCCAACCCCCTCGTCTGTACTACCGCCAGTGGACGAACCACCTCCACCACCACCTCCACCCCCTCCTCCACTACCCCCGCCGCGCCCAGCCTTAGGGCGGCGAGCCTTACCATAACAGGACTGCGCTGTGGCCACCGCAACAGCGGTTTCAGCTGCAGGGGCTGTCTCAGCTACAGCCGCAGAACCGTCAGAGTAAGAGCACTGGGCATGAGCACAACCCTGAAAGATAGGGGCCGGCGGAGTACCACCAGACTGGGGGATAGAGCTCTGACGGGTCTCTATGGTAGACAGGGTGTCGACAAAGTCGGAGAGGGTGAGGTCAGCGGTGTGCAGACTAAGAAAGTGGTCGCAGGCAGTGGCAAGGCGGTCGGGGAGGCGGGTGGCATGCAGGTAAAGGGTAGAGCAGATAGGGGGCTGGAACACATGAAGCTAGGCCTGAGTGCAGGCAACACGCCAAGTAGCGTCGAGCGTGCGCATGTGCGTGGCCAGGTCTGCGACAATGAGGAATGACACGAGATCAGGGAAGAGCATGGGAAGGATCAGTTGGCCGACAGAGGCAGAGCACGGGGTGGAATAACGCGCGACAATAGCTTATAGGAACTCATGCGCAGTCCTGACCGACTTAAGGCAGGGGCACTCTGACAGGGGGAGGGCATGGCTAATTGCGAGCTGAGCGACAGCGTCACGTGACAGCCAGACAGCGCGGGCAAGGGCAGCAGCAGCGGCGGACTCACGGTCAGCAGACGTGGGGTCAGCAGGGAGAGCAACAGGGGGGTCAGGGCAGGGGAGCGTACCGTCAATGTGAACGGCCAGGGAGTGGCCGTCCTGCCGCTGACCAGTGAGGTGAGAGCGGAGATCGACGAGCCATGAGTCGAACTCAATCGGCTGACCCTACGCGTTAAAGCGCAGCACCGAGTCCGCCATGAGGGCTGCTGTAGCCGCGAACTAATGGTGACAATGCGACTAGGAACAGTGGGAAGGAGTGCTGTACGGAAGAGTGGGGTGGGGCGCAGTGCAGTGCGGTTGGGAGTGGTGCAATGTGGTGCAGTGCGGTGTAGTGCGGTGTAGAGCGGTGCAGTGCGATACAGTGTAGTGCAGTGCAGTGCAGAGCGGTGCAATGCGGTGCTGAGCGGTACAGTGCGGTGCAGTGCGGTAGAGAGGGCAGGTGAAGCGGGTGGGGACCGAGAACCATGGCGGCTGAGCCGCTGGGAGACGGGGCCGAGGGGCGGTCGGGCGATAGGACCGCGGGGCAGCTGGGCGATGGGGCGCGGGTCGGCTAGGTAGCAGGGCCGCGGGGCGGCTGGGCATCGGGGCCGCGGCGCAGAGGGGCGACGGGGCATGGGGCGGCTGGGCGACGGGGCCGCGGAGCAGCTGGGAGATGGGGTCGCGGGGCAGCTGGGACGACGGGGCCGCGGGGCGGCTTGGCGACTGGGCCACGGGGCAGCTGGGACGGCGGGGCCGCGGGGTAGCTTGGATGATCGGGCCGCGGGGACGGCTTGGCGACTGGGCCGCGGAGCAGCTGGGATGACGGGGCCGCAGGGGCAGCTAGGACGACTGGGCCGTGGGGCAGCTGGACGGCGGGGCCACAAGGCGGCTGGGCTATGGGGCCACGAGGCGGCTAGGCAACGGGGCGGCTAGACCGCGGGGCGGTTGGGCGCTAGGCGACGGGGTCGCGAGGCCAGCGGGACGGCTAGGCGCTAGGCGACGGGGGCCGACGGGGCCACGGGCGGCTAGGAGCTAAGGGAGCGGGGCCGCGGGGGCTGGGCAATAGCCGACGGGACGGCGGGGCCAGCGGGGCGGCTAGGCGCGACGTGGCGGGGCAAAGAGGCCGCGGGCGGCTAGGCGCTAGGAGAGGAGCCAACGGGGCCACGGGCGGCTAAGAGCTAGGGGAGCGGGGCCGCGGGGGCTAGGCGCTAGGTGACGGGGCCACGGGGCCACGGGGCCACGGGCGGCTAGGTGCTAGGGAACGGGGCCGTGGGGCCAGCAAGGCAACGGGGCGGCGGAGCCCGTGGGGCGGCTAGGAGCTAGGCGACGGGGAAGGCTAGGACCTAAGGCGGAAGCACGGGTGGGCGGGGGGGACCTAACCTGCTCATGATACCATCTCAGAGTTAGAACGAATTGACTACAATGAGAGAATATAGGAGTATATAGCTAGTGGGTTGTACTCTCTATGGCAAGACCCTATGTAGTCTACCAAACATACACAAATATGTTTGACATATACACACATACAACAGCTCGGCTCGACAACAATACAACACAACAAAACGATCGTAAATGCAGTAAAGCGAATGCATCAATGCACTCGTGCCACAATAGAGATTGTCATGCACGTTATGGGAAGAAACTCCCAAATCGGTAACGACAATCGCAAATTGTATGATGCACTAGGCATAGTCAGCATCTGTAAGACCAGGACGCGAAACAACGGTACTATCTCATCCAGAAAGGTTGCGACATAGGCATGTTCTTGTGGCGCATCCTGTAAACAACAGCCCAAATATTTGTTTAGATATATATAAATGATATTATCTTCTGTTACGTAGTTATGGTTGTTGGTTCACTTCCCTCATGGTGCATCATTAGGATGACTTATACACGCACTGCGTAAGAACTATGGGCGTGCTGTTTTACGAAACGCACGGGAAAATCTCGGGGGTGTTTTTCCTCGTGAATTGCAAAGGTTTCATGCACCGTCATATTCGACCCCAAGATTTTGGACGGTTGAGATTGAGCCCCGAATTACTGGTGCGTTGGAAAGAAGAGTTTGTGTGCGGACCGTCAGATGCTGATATGTGAAAAATGGACGGTAAAAAAACGTGCTACACATGGAGTTCCAAATTGCAGCACGCAGTGAACTTGAAAGGCACCACCAGAGTGGCGAGACTCACGTTACCCCACCCTACACCCACGAAAGCGCTACTTTCAAATGCAGTGCGTTTGAAGGCCGCGCCTCGCAATTTGGGCCGCGGGTTTTAAACGTAACTTATTGGGTTTCTGTTACGTTTTACGCGTTGTTTTCGTCTGACAACGAATGCAGAACAAGATCATAAGGGTGTGTTTTTAGTAGGTGTCATCCCGAGAAAGTGTCATCCGAGAATGTTGGAAACCGATCTCAACCGTTATTTCAAAACTTTAACGGTTGCGATGGGTTTCCAACATTCTTGGATGACTCTTTCTGGGGATGACATCTACTAGAAACACGCCCTAAGTGAAAACGTGTTGTACTTTCTAGGGTGCATTCCTGCTGGTTGGTGCCAAAAAGGTGACCATCATCCCTGCGGTCACAATTGCAGGCCAGCTTTCTGAAATTGCTGACCGACACTGGCCGTCCCTCAATTTTGATGCTCTGATTGGTTAGTGGGCCTGACAGGATGCCAAAGCTGACACTGCGAATGCACACAATGGATCGAACGTGCAGTGGCAAGTTAACCTTGGAGGAAAGTTTTGGCTTTGGGACGCTTTTGGGTTGACCCGCTTGTTGAACAAGGCTGAAAACAAGGGTATTGTTGGGGACAAGTTTAGTGTAGCTTGTTACATGACAACTGTGGAGTTTTGGGCTCGGTAAGGTTGGGCCAAATATTGCGTAAACCCTGCCCGGACTAAATATTTCGTAGACTCTCCGAATCAATCGCTCTGACGTTTCCAACGGCAGCTGGAAGGGGGAGGAAGTACACCTCGTCAAGTTACGTGCATGAAAGTGAAACTGGGTGGGTTGCGAAAAGACAACCTCCACATGTTTGAAATTGTAGGGATGTAGAAAAGCATCTTGTTTTGTTCAACGGGCCAGTCCTTGCTACAAGTCATCCAGGGTTCCCTGCCATTCGTCCATTCGATCGGAATTGATGCCCAATTTATTTCGCTCCTTCCGGCTATTCTGCCCGTAAAACTATCAAAATTCCGGGCGTTCGGGTCGAATCGCATAATCACGAGCCGCCTTGTTTCCCCCCTGGCGGGAGGGCGAATGTGGCACACCGTCGCAGGCGTTCGATTTTCCAGCGTGAGGGAGAATCCGCTTCCCTCTCCTCCATCCTGCTCATGCGCCTCAAACAATTGAGGCGGGCCGAGGCGCCTCGCGACGCGACTCGATTTGCATGGATGCGCGCAGTGATCGTTGGATGCGTGTGCCCTGCTCTGCTGCAGCACACAGCCTGCTGCCCGAGCCATTCCTCCCTCCCTGCATCTCTTCTTCTGCCCCCAAGCCAGCCCAGCAGCAGCAGCAGCTGATGCTAAGGGCGCGAGACTGCGAGAAAACAGCGAATCCCGGCCCATGGATCCAAACTAACGAGGCACCAGCAAACCTCAGCTTTTGACCACGAGATGCGGAGACCCGTCTCACACATCCAGGGCGGGCAGTTTTACGAGCGCGCACTGCGCCTTGGCGAATTCTATTCTAGCTGTTGATCAAACAACTGTGCGAGAGGGAGTCGTGCCGTCACCTCGGTCGCCTCGAATCTCGAGCTCAAACCTCTCGCTCAAAATTTCGCCTTTCGCCCCATCTCGCTCCTCGTCTCGTGAGTCGTCACCCATCCACCTATCCAAATCCTCCCATCACACTCCCCGTCATTCCCAGCTTCCAATTGTCGGCCCAACGGTTCGCAACGGCCGGATCCTCTCTCACCCATCGATCGCACAGCTCAGCATTTCCCTGGGGCGCCTTAAATCCATTTTCCCACGCGAGTGTCAAAAAGGATCTCGCAAGTCAGGGTGTAAGAAACTTCTTGCGCCCCGTTTCCTAGCGAAGGGAGAGAGGAGGCAAGCTTGAGATCCCAGTAGCTCTCTATCTAGTTATTCCATTCATTCATGTTCTTGCGTCCGTGTTCTTTCCACTCGGATTCCGTCCGTGCTCCTAGAATTCCGTTCATCGTTCTCAGGATTAAACAGTGACCGCGCGTTCAAGCTTTCAGAGCGAAACCCGGATCCCACCTAGAATTTGTCTAATCCTAGTATCTCGGCGGCACGTACTACTGGTGCAGCTGGCGACGTGCCCGACTAATCAGCACTCCTACATACGCTTTCGTGCGCGGGAGCGTGCGTGCGCGTGTATCTCCACCGCTCCTGCCCGCTCACGCACCAACCCACGCCTCAGTTCTGGCCCCAGCAACACCACGTGACAACCACATGCCTAGTATGCGGAAGCCTGGTGCCGTGGCAGCCATGTCCCCCGCTATGGGCGACCCCGAATACTCCCCGGCGGCCTCCCGCCAGAGCCTCATGGCCGACGACGCGCAGCTTAGTCGCAGCTACTCGGGTTACCAGAACATCGCCGTCGCCACGCCGCCGCAACCGCCTGATGCGCCGTCGCCGCACACGGCGGTGAACGTGAAGGTTGAGCCAATGGTGCTGTCCTTTCATAACGTTTCGTACACTGTCGTCAATAAGCGCACCCCAGGCGCGAAGAAGATTAAACCCGCCGCCCCCGCCGCCGGCGGAGGCGGGAACGACGCGCGGTTCGAGTCGCTGAACTCAGACGACGAAGGGGGAATGGACATGGGCGGCGCGGGTGACGTGTCGCCGGAGCCGCAGTCGTTATCGGAGCAAGGCCTGACTGTAAAGAAGAAAAAAGTGTACCGCACGATTCTGAAGGACATTTCCGGGTTCGCACGGTCGCAGGAGGTGCTTGCGATCATGGGGTCGTCGGGATCGGGGAAAACGACGCTGCTGGACGTGCTCGCGCATCGCATAGCGGAGGCGAAGCCGTCGCGCTTGTCGCAGAAGGAGGGCGGCAAGGTGAAGAGCGGTCGCACGGGCAACGTGGAGCTGAACGGCGTGTCGATGTCGGGCAGCATCATGCGACGCATCTCGGCGTATGTCATGCAGGACGATCTGATGCACGCGACGCTGACGGCGCGCGAGACGCTGATGTTTTCCGCGGAGATGAATCTGCCGAGCGAGACGTTTTCGCAAAAGGAGAAGCAGGAGCGCGTGGAGCGGTTGCTCGAGCTGCTGGGGCTGCAGCACGCCGCGAACACGATTATTGGCGACGAGGACCGGCGGTAAGCGCGGGGGATGGGCGGGATGCGCGGGATGCGTGGGATGCGGGATCCGGGATAATGATGGGATGAGGGATGGAACAATAATAGTGTGCGGCTTTACACTTGCATCCAAGCATGGGGCAAGGGACGCATTGGGGCAGAAGGAGATAGTGGTTCACGAAGCAACGAGAAGTAGTGGCTTATAAAGAACCTGGTCTTTTAACGAACCTCGTCGCTCAGCGGCAGAGCAACGAATTGGGTATTCGGCGCGCAGTCAGCGGCGAGTGAGCCACGACATTTCGCAAGCCTCGATCTTGCCCCCTCTCACACCCCCCCCCCTTTCTTCCCCCACTCCCCCCCTTCCCTCCCCCCCCCACTTTTCCCCGCAGAGGCGTGTCGGGGGGCGAGCGCAAGCGCGTGGCGATCGGCGCGCAGATCGTGCACGACCCGAAGATCCTCTTCCTGGACGAGCCCACGTCCGGCCTCGATTCCTCCAACGCGTACCGCGTGGTGAAGATCTGCAAGGACATCGCCGTGGAGTCGCGCAGCATCGTCATCATGGTCATCCACCAGCCGTCGTTCCGCGTGCTTGAGCTCCTAGACCAGCTGCTCCTCATGGCGACGGGAAATACTATTTTCTTCGGCCCGCCGCCAGAGCTGCCGGCGTTTTTCGACTCGTTCGGGACGCCCGTTCCGCAGTTTGCCAACCCGACGGAGTTTGGACTCGAGCTGCTAGACCAGCTCGCGAACACTGATACGGGACTGAGTGAGTTAGTCGCCTACGCGGACGAGTACCACCGCGGGAAGGACCTCACCGGCGGCCGCGGCGGAAGGGGAGGGGGGATGGGCGCGCTTCCGCCGATCCCCGACGACGGGTCCGCGGCGGCGTCGCCCGTGAGCGCGTGCGACGTGGTTCCGGAGGACTCGCCGGCGGCGGCGAAAGCGGCGGCGGCGGCGGCGGTGGTGGCGTCGAACCACAAGGGGACGAGGCAGTACGCGAACAGCTGGTTCCGCGAGCTGTGCGTGCTGACGGCGCGCTCCGCGCTGATGATTCGGCGCAACCCCGCGCTGTACGCGCTGCGGCTGGCGCTGCTAGCGGTCGCGGGGTTCATGCTCGCGACGCTGTTCTACCGCCCGGACTACGAGTAAGCAGCACTGACTGTTAGGAACGCCCGATACACCTGATCTGAAAGGGTTTATTTTTGGCTCGATTGCCCCGCATCTGTCGCCGCTGATTCTCCTCCTCGCCGCTTCAATCTCCCCTCCCCTTCACCCCAGCCTCTTGCCCGACTCACCCTCCCGTTTCCCCCCATTACTCGGCACCTCGTAACCGCTTGGCAGTCCGACGGGTCTGTTGGAGCGCCTGGCGTTCCTGTCGTTGATCGTGGCCGTGCAGTGTCACCAGTCATCCGTTGACTCACCCTCTCTATCTTGACTCACCCTAAACCCTATCTCTCCCGCATTGCCACCCACCTCGTGTTCCCTCCCGCCGTGGCAGCCCCACGGGTCTGTTGGAGCGCCTGGCGTTCCTGTCGTTCATCGTGGCCGTGCTCTTCTTCTGCTCCGCCGACGCCACGCCTATCTTCATCTCGGTACGCCGCTTCCCCCGCCGCTTCCCCCGCTTCTGCTGTTGCTGCCGCCGCTGCTACTGCCGCGGCACATGCTACCGTCTAGGCCGCCGCCCACCCACCCACCCGCCGTTCCCCACTCCCCGCCCCCCGCCCCCGCCGCTACCAGGAGCGGCACATATTCATACGAGAGACCTCCCATAACACGTACCGGTCGTCAACGTACGTGATCGCGACGACGGTGGTGTACCTGCCGCTCTACTTCATGATGGCGCTCATCATCACGCTCGAGTCGTGGTGGTGCGTCGGCCTCACGGGCGGCTTCTCGGGCATCTGCTTCTTCTGCCTCATGTGCTTCACATGCCTCTTCACCGGGAACGCTATCGCTACTCTCTGCTCGTCGTTCTTTACCAAGTGAGTATGCACTGAGGGTTCGGCCGGGCTGGTTTCGGTTGGGCGGAGTTGGGCTGGGTTGGGTTGGGTTGGGTTGGGCTCACGGGCAGCTTCTCGGGCATCTATTCTTCTGCCTCATGTGCTTCACGTGCCTCTTCACCGGGAATGCTATCGCCACGCTCTGCTCGTCCTTCTTCACCAAGTGAGTTTTGGGGTTGGATCGGGTTGAGTTCTGTTGGGTTCGGTTGGGTTGGGTTCCCAGCGGTGCTCTCGGGCATCTGCTCCTTCAGCCTCAGAGCACGTCCATCCCTACTCCCCCTTCTCCCCGGCAAGACTCACCCATTCTCTCCCCCTTCCTTCGTACTCACCCCTTCACCCTACTATCTCTCCCCCTCCCTCTCCCCCCCCCCCAGCGTCATCCTCGCCTACGCCATGGTGATCTCGCTGATGGCGTACTTCACGCTGGTGTGCGGGTTCTACATCCAGCGCACGTCCATCCCCAAGTTCTGGATCTGGCTGCACTACATCTCGCCCATGAAGTACGCCTACGAGGGACTCGCGCTCAACGAGTTCGACAGGTGAGACCGCAAGAGAATGTCTCCCCCTTCCCCCCCCCCCCCCCTTTGTCGCTTATCTTCCCTTTTTGTCTCTTTCCTTCCCGTTCTTTTGCTCTCACTCTCTCCCCTTTTCACACACGCACACAATCTCATTCCAACGCCCCCTTTTTACGCTCCCTTCCCATCCCCTCACCCATCCACCAGGGAGGACGGCGCGTGCTACCTGACAGTTGAGCAGATCTTCACGGTGAAGCCCTTCAACGAGTACGTGAACGCGACCAAGGCCAAGTCCGCCATGGACGTGTTCATCCCCACGCTCGCAACGAACGCCACTGCTGGGCTGAACGAAACGAGCTGCATCCTATACGGCCCGCGCATCGCGCACGGGTTCCTGGAGATCAACGAGCTGGGCAAGTGGGAGTGCCTGGCGGTGCTGTTCGGGCTCGCGATGTTCATCCGCGTGTGCTACTTCTTTGTTCTGACGTCGATCTACAAGGAGAAGAGGAAGTAGATAGAGGAGGGGAGGGAGGGGAGGGGAGGGGGGGGGAGGAGCAGGAAGGAGGAAGGAGTCGCAGTCAAGACAGTCGGTAACGGCTTTTTCAGTGGTGCGCTGCTGTTCAAGCTCTCCACCGACCCGGTGCTATGCCCGCCCTCTACCCCCGATACAGCTGTGCCGTATTTATGAAGCCGCCGTGTGCGTATGCCGCACCCAGGAGCACATTCCAGAAAACACCCATACAGAGTTACTCAGTGACTGGATTGCCCTAGCTGTCCACTTGGTCCAGAAGCAGCAGCAGCAGCAGCAGCAGCAACGGCAGCAGCAACAGTGTGGCCGCGGCAGCAGCAGCAGCGGCAGCAGCAACAGTGTGGCCGCGGCAGCAGCAGCAGCGGCAGCAGCAACAGTGTGGCAGCGGCAGCAGCAGCAGCAGATGGTAGTGATGTTTCAAATAACTGGTGGCCGGGTGCATTGCTGCCCTTCGCAGCTGCACAGGGCTCATCCCCACATCCTTGCATGGTTCCCCCCGTCCAGTCTTTATTCTCACTCAATCCTGATCTAATCACTCTACTGTAGGCTAAGGAGAGAGAGGGGTGTGATGATGCCCCTGATGTTTCTAGGGTAGGTTTCTATGGGTTGGGCATGTGTGCCTAGAGGTTCGCCTAGAGACCCATCTGCACATGTTTTAGTGCAGTTGGGTGGCGAATAATGGTGCGTCTATCTTTGACACCTTTGATAGGATAGAAACAAGGCGCATTTGCCAGATGCTTTTTTATGATTCTGTGCTTCTCTTGATTGAATGTGCCATGTACATTTGGCAAATTACAAAGGTGATTATCATATAAACCTTGTGATGGAATCAACAGCTGTACGCGCTATGATAATTTGAATACAAGTGCGTCGCACAGCCTCTTTGCAATATCGCGGACGGCCCATCTTGAATTCCACCGTAGAATTTTCCCGCGAAGGACAAGACCAGAGAATTGAGACCAAATTCCCCGCCCGCAATGCTCACTATTTCCAGCTAGTTACTTCAGGTTCCCCGCCTTACCCGACTCCGCGCCACGTGGCTTTTTTCCTTTGCGGAGTTCCCGCGAATGCATCTTTCCGCGTGCCGCGTTCTCCTCCCGAGGCGTTAGAAGCGCCGAGCGGTCTATCCCGATCCCGTCTCGCCCCCCCAACTGTGATACCAGTCCCATATCACAGCAGCCTGCTGAGCAGGAAGGAGTCGCAGCAGCGGCAGCAGGAGCAAGCAGGCCGGCGTTTCCTCGTGCGCTTGAGAGACAAAAGATCCATCGTCGGTTCTCTCACCCACTCGTGCAATAGCTGCTGCAGCAGTAACGGTAACGGTAGCGGCAACGGGAGCGGTGTAGGAGTCATGGCTTCGGCTTCGCCGCAAGGCGAGGCGAGCAGCGAGACGGTTCGGCTGTTCAGCGCGTGGTTCTGCCCGTTCGCGCAGCGCGCGTGGATCGCGCTGGAGGCCAAGGGCGTGAAATACGAGGTGCGAGGGACTTATTTTTCAGAATGATAAAAAACCAAGTTCAACATACGAGGTGCGGAGGTTTGTTGTTTTAAAACTATCAAAAGCCAAGTTCAACATACGAGGTGCGTGGGGATAATCCTTGGGTGCCTATAGACCACGCGCGAGGATTGCGCTGAAGGCCAAGGGCGTGAAATACGAGGTGCGGGGGATTCGATACTCAAGGATTCGATACTCAAGGATTCGATACGAAGGGATTGGGCACGAGGTACGAGTTTCTTGGATAACCGTGCACAGTGGTACGCGGCAGTGCACAGTGGTACGCGGCAGTGCACAGTGGTACGCGGCAGTACACTGTGGTACGCGGCAGTACACTGTGGTACGCGGCAGTACACTGTGGTACGCGGCAGTGCACAGTGGTACGCGGCAGTTCACAGTGGTACGCGGCAGTACACAGTGGTACGCGGCAGTGCACAGTGGTACGCGGCAGTACACAGTGGTACGCGGCAGTGCACAGTGGTACGCTGCAGTACACAGTGGTTGGCAGCAGTACACAGTGGTACGCGGTAGTTCGGTGTGGCACGTGCAGTCTAGCACTAGGGTTGACTCGAGAGTTAGGTTAGCTAGGCGCCGCGTATTGGGTGGTGCCAAGAATCGTCAGCCAGAGTACATTTGCAAAATACTCGCGCACCTCCCCCACCTAACCCTACCGCATCTGATAGTGCTCAGCGAGGTTTTCTTAGAGTCGACTCAAAAGCAGCCACTCCCACCTCTCCCACCCACCTCGTGTGCCACACGTATCTACTGATGGTGCTCAGTGAGGTGGGAGAGGTGCGCGTATCCGCCTCTTGTGACTAGAGAGTACTTGCAGAGAGAGCTTGTAAGCCACGGCCCCCATTATCCGGCCCTCGCGTGCGCTCTGTCTGCCTCTGCCGCTTCACCATCCAGTCGTCTTCCCGCTCCCCATCCCTGTGCCCCCCACGCTTTGCCCCCCACTCTGTGCGCTCCCCCGAAACCCCCGTCCCATGGCTCCCCGCGTATGTACGCCAATCCAGCATGTTTGAGACGCCTCTAAAGCCCTCCCCTCCCTTCGCCTCCCGTCGTCCCTTCCCCTTCCCTCGCTTCCCCTCCCCTCCCCTACCCGCAGTACATTGAGGTGGACCCATATGCCAAGCCAGCGGAGCTCATGGCAGTGAACCCCCGTGGCCTGGTGCCTGCTCTGCTGCACGTGCCACAGCAGGGTGAGCAGAAGCGGTGCCTGTACGAGTCGAGCGTGATTATGGAGTACATTAACGAGGCCTTCCCGCCTTCTGCTATACTCTCTTCTTCTAGCGATGCTGCTGCTGCTGCTGCTGCTGCTGCTGCTGCTGCTGCTGCTGGTGCTGATGTAGGTGCGAGCGGGGGCATGCATCTGATGCCGGAGGGCGCGTACGAGAGGGCGCAAGTGCGCTTGTGGATGGACTTTGTCAATCGCAAGATCATCCCCACCTTCTACCGGTAACTGCCACCATGCCACCTCGCCCCTCCCCTCCCCTCGTCCCGCTTCCCTTCTCTCGTCTCCCTTCGCCGCCTCTTGCTTCCCTTCCCCTCCTCTCGCTCCCTCTCGCCTTCCTTTCTTGTTTCCGTTACCACTGCTCGTTTCCCTCCGAAGTTTTTCTGCGCCCTCTCAAGCGGTCCTTGGTATTTCATGGGAATCCTGGGTACATAGCTAGGCTTCTTCTCACTCTCTTTCTCAGTCATTCTCATCACCATTCATCTCCTATCCCCGCCCATTTCTCCCCTCCTTGTCTTTCACAGCACCACCACACCACCCTTGATGAGTGGTTGTGTGACAAAGTCAGCACCACCGCCCCACACTGATGGGCTGTTTCAAACATTGACCTGCTGCCTTGTATTTCCCCTCTCTACTCCCCAACCCCCCTCCCTGCCGACCACACCCAAACCTCCTCCTGAACACCAGCTACCTCCAGAAGCAGGACCAGGAGGAGCAGGAGGCAGAGCGGGCGGCGTTGGTCGGCTGCTATGAGCAGCTGGGGGCGGCCATGGCAGAGATCAGTCCGGAGGGGCCCTTCTTCCTTGGGCAACGCTTCTCCCTCATGGTGCTCTCTCTTACTACCTGTATCCCTATCCATGCCTATCCATGCCTATCCATGCCTATCCATGCCTATCCACTCTGCCTGCCTCTCCTGTCCCATTTTTTTCTCCTCTCCTCCACATTTCCCTGTGTTTTTCTGTGTCTATTCCTACTCCTTTCCCCCTGACCAACCGGGCACGATCAAAGCCTCCTTCCATCGTCCATTATTGCTTGCGTGTGTGCATCCCTTGTCAGGACATCTCCCTTGCACCCTGGGTGCTGCGCCACGACATCCTACACTTCTACCGCAACTTCTCCCTCCCCTCGCCCGACGACTCTTCTCCTTCCCTCCGCCGTTTCCACCAATGGGAGGCTGCTGTGGCTGCTCACCCAAGCGTGCGCGCCACCCTGGCGGACCGTGATAGGCTACGGGAGATTTACAAGCGGTATGCGGATAACACGGCGACCTCAGAGGTAGCAGTGGCTATCAATAAAGGCACTGCACTGCCATGATAGGTTACACAAGAAAAGAACGACCTACCAGTTAATTCAGAATTTGTGTGCCCATCAACAGCATGGGCACGATCTTGCCGAACGCTAGCAGTAGGTGTCCTTGTCAACTTATATATATTTATGTATAGTTGTAGGCTTGGTAGGTTAGATGTGCTACATTACTGGATTCTACTGTAGAGGGAACAACCCCTCTTGTATCTCTTCCTCTTCTAGTCCAACTCTCTTTTCTCTCGCCCCTTTTCTCCCAAGCTAAAACCTCTCGACATTTCTCATGCCTAGCTAGCTTTTAGGCTTAACTCCTTTCAACATGGTTTCAGAGCAGGAAGATCATGCTGCGTCATCACGCTTCCGCAGCGTACTCTTTCCCCTCCCGTCAGATTCGCGCCGCCATGGCAGCTTCGCAGCGCTGCTGCGGCGGCCTCGCTGCGCTGCCGTGGCGACCTCGTCGAGCAGCCGTGGCGGCCTCACCGCGTTGCCGCCGCGACTTCGACGCGCTGCCATGGCGGCCACGTCCTGCTGCCATGGCGGCCTCGACGCGTGACGGCCTCATCGAGCAGCCATGGCGGCCTCGCCGCACTGCCGCGGCGGCCTCATCGTGCTGCCGTGGCATCGTCCTGCTGCCGCGGCGGCTTCGATGCGCCAGCGCACGTTTTTAGCGCCGGCCAGCTCGCCCGCACGCCAGCCAGCGCCGCGCCAGCCACGGCGCCTTGCTGAAGACTCGTCCCCCTCTTCTGCATTCCCCCCTCCTTCCCGCCACAGCTGCTGGCGGTCTCGTGCCGTCCTCCCCCCCGTCGTCACAAGTGTGTGCCACGCCGCCGGGTGCCTCGGGCGCCACCGCCGCCGCCGCCGCCGGGTGCCTCGTGTCATGATACACGCTGGGGTCGCCCTTGGTCCTCGGGAAAGGGTTACAGGTGCAGAGCCTGGGGGGTTATGGGTGCACTTACCTGCTATTAACAAACCCTTTTAACTCAGCGGTTAGTGACTGCGTTCTAGTGTGGTATTGGAGCCGGGTGACCACCGGGATTCAATTCCCAGTGTGCACTGTGGAGGTGTGCGATCAGAAGCGCTTGTGTCTACCGCCTATCCCAGCGAGGGGGGGTGTTATGATACACGCTGGAGAAAGCACCGCAGCTGGATGTGCTTCGCTCTGCCCTCCAGTCGAGGCTCCTCACACAGGAGGATCATGGCCCTGTTGTCAGCGTACAGGACCGGGGCAAATCTAGGCCGCTCACCTAAGTCTGTGAGCAAGAAGGTCAGCCAGCGGAGCTCCTGTGCCGCCATGGCACCGGCGTAGATCTCAGCCTCACAGCTAGACTGGGCAACAGACGACGGGCGGGTGGACCTCCACGAGATGGCGCCTGCACCAAGGCTAAAGCAATAGCCCTGAGAGGACATGAGTGTCTCAGAGTCGTCTGCCCACGAAGCGTCTGTGTGCCCTGTAAGGACCAATGGCTTGTGTCCTCCTAGAACCAGCCCCATGTTCGATGTACTTGCTAGATAACGCAAAACCCTCTTAGCGGCCGACCAGTGTTGTGTTCGTTGTCTGCCTGTGGCCACAAAGCAAGACCGGTTGCTGAGAGGGTATGCGAGATCTGGACGAGTGCAAGTCATCACGTACATGAGGCAACCTACTAGCTCTGCCTACCACTAGGCTCTACAGATTCGTAAGGGACTAGAGCCGAGAGCCTGTGATCTACTGGTACCAGTGTGGGTTGTGCAGAGGAGAACTGAAGACCGAACCTCTGAAGAACCTGGCGCACCAAGTGGGACTGTGTGAGAGTGATGGTGCGTGCTGCTCTGTCCCTGGAGATCTGTAGGCCAAGGTAACGGCGCAGCTCTCCTAGGTCAGTGCAGGTGTGTCTCCTCAGCAGCTCAGCCTTCATGGAGGCTAGTGCGTCTCTGTCTGCAGTAGCAAAGATCAGGTTGTCTACATAGAGAAGGATGTAGAACGGGGTCTGGCCAGCACAAACGAAGAGCGAGGGGTCTGCAGACGACGGGAAGAACTGCAAGTCAACTAACGTAGCACGAAGCGTGTCGTGCCACTCGCGAGGCGCCTGCCGCAGGCCGTAAACCGGGTGCCGGAGGAGCCACTGGGTCCACGGGGCGAAGGAGCCGGTGAAGCCTAGCGGGTGACACAGGTAGACCTGCTCGTGCAGACTGCCCTGAAGAAACGCTGTCGAAAAGTTGAGAGAGTGTAGCTCGTAGTCACGCTGTACTGCTACGTGTAACATCGCTCGAAGAGTAGAATCACCCTGTGTATAGCCACGCAAAGCTATTGGCTTTAAGGGATTGCGGCAGGATTATGCTAGATATAGCGCGCCAGTATTTTCCGAGCCTGGTCGGTAATATAATGACAATAATAGGATAAACCAAAGGATTATGGAAAAGGAGGAATAGGAATCCAAATTATATGAGATAAAGACTAAATGAATCAGTAGAAAAAAAGAGAATAAGATAGAGGAGAAAGATAGAAAGGAGAAAGAAGTGTAACCGGGTCGTACTCTCACAAGCACCCCCAGAACCAGCACTCCCAGAACGAGAACCCTCTCCAGCACCGGTGCCACCCCCGTGACCGCCACGACAAACCATGACAGCAACTCAAGGACTTGCACCTTCCTCAACACAAGCACCCCCAAAACGCGCGGACCCCTGCGGCGGCTACGGCTGTGGTGGCGGCTGCTGCTACGGCAGCGGCGGCGGCGGCGACGGCGACAACTGCTGCGGCTGCGGCAACGGAGGAGGAGACACCGGGGCAGAGGTCAGCGAGGCTCCCGGAGTCAGCCAACTCCTCCACCGGGACCACCAACGGGAGGGGAGTGACGTGACACACACTAGACAGGGCAGGATGGGGAGGGAGGGGAGCAGGGGCTATCGGGGGAGTGGGAACCAGATACAAGGGCGGGGAAACCGGGAGACCTCGGTGGGGAAAGCGGTTGTAGAAGGACACAGAATCATCAAAATTGATGTCACGCGAGTGAAAGAAGCTGTGAGAAGGCGGGTGGTACAAGTGCCAGTCAAATGCGTCAAGGGGGAAAACCAAGGAGGGCATAGGGGACACAGCGGGCAGAGAGCTTGTCCGTGCCAGAAGCACGAACGTGAGCGAGGCAGCCCCAGACGTGGAACACAGACGCATCACCAGGCAACCCGGTCCAAAGAAGGGTCGGCAAAACATGCGGCCGTTGGGAGTGTGGCCGCATGTTAAGCTGATGAGCGGCATAGTGAACAGTAAACGACCTCATAAAATGGGGTCCACCGGCATGGATCATGGAGGTACGAGCCACCTCCATGACCGAATTGATGCGTTGCTCAAAGACCCCATTCTGCTGTGGGGAGTCCGGCAGGGTGTACGACTGGGTGGTGCTCTCCACGCAAAAGAGCTGGCCAAGTTGATTGGAGGCAAACACGCCACCATGGTCGAAGTGGAGACGGAACACGCGGAGGCCGCGGTGGACTCGCGCAGCTACGACCCACGAGATAAGAACGCCAGGCATGTCGGCCTTCCGCTCCAGGGGAAACATCTTGGTGTAGCACTTAGAGTCATCGACAAGCACTAGAAAGTAGCACTCTCGATGCTGCCTAGGGACGGGGGCTGGGCTCCAAACGTCCAAGTGCAAGAGGCAGTAGTAGGGGGAAACGAGGAGGAGTGAGGAGCAAGGCGTAGCCGACCCTCGACGCAAGGCGTACACGCCAGCGCAGGCGAGGGAGGGAGGGCAGGGAGCGACGCAGGGAGCGACGCAGGGAGACCAAAGACAAGACCGTGATGAGACATGTGACACAGATGTGGGAGTGTGAGGTGACCTAGGCGGTGGTGCTACAGCAGCGATCTGGGTTGCCGCAGGCACTTGGGGGGACGCCCTCCATGGGGAGGACGCAGTGTCAAGCATAAACAGGTCGGACACAGGGTCCCAAGGTAACGTGGTCAGAAGGGCACCAGTGGTGGCCTCGGTACAAACCACATACTGCTTGTGTAGTGGTGACGCCAAGGTCCTGAAGACAGCCGACACCAACTAGGTTCCTAGAGAACGAAGGGATGTGTAGGCGTGTAAGAGAGCCCGAGGGGACTGCTGGACAGGGAAGGGTAGTGGGGCTATGGGCTACAACCGGACCTGAGGAGGGGTCAGCAAGCGCTACAGCGGCGGGAGCAGCAAGCGGCGTGAGCACAATGTGGTCGCAAAAGAAACAAGCGGACGCTCCAGAGTCGAGCGTAAAGGAGAGCGATGTAGTAGCGTCAGCCGGCAGAGGGGCGAGCGTAGAGCCTAAACTAAACAAGGCAGATGGTCCTACATCTGATGCAACAGGGGAGCCTAGACTACACACAGAGGACACACCTACGCTAGGCAGCACCGGGTAATAAGGTCCAATCAAACTACAGTCATCAGCATACATGACAGACATACATTTGCGGAAACAATTGTCCGTATGTTTTGCATTAATTTGGGTTTTTAGGCTTTAAGACCACTATACATTAAGCCTTAATGTTTAAAGCGAGAGGTTTATATTAGTGACCCATCTTTCTAGTTGGGCCCAACTTGATTGGGACCCTCGAACAGATATAGGGGGGTCAAGTGAGCGGGCAGAAGAAAACGTCGTTTCGGAGCGGGCAGTCACTCAGCAGCAAAAGCACCTGCCCGCGCGACAAATTTGGATATGTGGACACGGGCGTGTTTATAAACATAATACTAGCTAGCACGCCTCGTTGGGACTGGTTTGCTACCGTATTATGTTGACCTCGATTGGTTGCGGTTCAGTCAAACTCAAAAGGGTGGACACGGAATGGGAAAAGTGTGGTTGGTGGGTGGTCGAAGTAAACACCCCTTGATTTGTTAGCTCTGGGTGGGGAGAAATTTCGACCAATCAGAAATGCAGTTGTGTTCTTGCACGAGTGGTGAACCCGGGTCTAATTTGAAAACCAAGTTGGGCCCACTTGGAGAATGACGAGGCAATGGGGTCGCACAAGAACCTGCGACCTGTGACAGCTCGCAAACCCAGTCCTACAAATCTCCCAGCCAATCGTGTGCTCGCGCCTGCTCGCTCTGAACAGCGTGCCTGTGTTGTGGAATTGCCCTGGTTCTGCCGAGTGAGGCTAACAACCCCTTAGAAAAAATCGAGGGTCCCTTGGTTTCAAGTTGGACCCGCCTTCACTATTTTAGCCCCTCGCTTTAATGGTGGTATGATTTAGGAGGGGCACATAGTGGATGTGTTCATAGGACAAATATTCATAATAT